CAGCACCTCCCTGGAAGGCCAAGCTTCCACAGGGTCAGCCGGTGGGAAAAGAGTCAAATGAAATAATATCTGTAAATCGCCTAGTATATAATAGGTGCTATATAAATGCTTATACCTCTCCCTAAAAGCAGGACTTCCAGGTCAAAGAAAATCACAGGTAGCATGTCTCCTAGTATCTATCACTAAAGTCCTATTCCATCCTTGACATCCTTCTGAAAATATGGTAATTCTAAAGATTTGATCCAATCGGGGAAGGACAATGGTTAGGGCTGTAATCAAAATGGAAATTTTTATTATAGTTAATATCATTAGTGATTTTATAACAGAATAATAATAATAGAATAGAATAATCAGGGAATGCCATTTATTAAGCACCTATTGTATACCGAGCACAAGGAATACAAAATTTAAAAAAAGAAAGATGATCCTGCCATTGGGCTAGAAAACTCAGCTCAATCTGTTGCCCCAGAGTGAGTCAGAACTGTAACTAGCATGGGACCTATGGGGCCTTGCCTCAGGGTACAAATATTTGGAATGACATGCTTCCTTCCCACAGTAACCACCCTCCCCACAGCTCACCTAGTGGCCAGCTCATACTCCAGTGTGTCCCCAGGGTCCCATCTCTGTGGAATCTATCTTCCAAGGCCCAACCTTTCCCCTGGACCCTCTGTGAGACAGGCTACCCAATCGCTGGCCATAACTCCACTAATGGTGGTAAGACTGTGCTTCATGCTGTTACAGGCATGCACACACATGCACAATCATTTCTGGTTATGGCTCTGGTGGGAGTCACCAGATAATAAACTACAGTCATGGAATTGGCAAGGACTTAAAGATCCCATGGCTTCTGACACAAGGCCCCTACCTTCAGGCAGGTAAATGACTGAATCACCTAGACGTTTGTCTTGAATTTTAAAAGATTCCCTAACCTCCCAGGACAAACCATCTATTCAAGCACTTTACCAGGTTGAAGGTGCTTTACCTTTACTGTTTTAGTAGATCCTTCTGAGGATTTGTGCTCCAGGAAACACATGCCATAGATCATCCCGCGTGAAAAAGAAACAGCATCTCCAGCAATTAGGGAAATGCAAATTAAAACAGTTTGGGAAACCATCTTGCACCTGAACCATCAAGCAACCAATGTAAATCAAAATGAGAAAACGCCGAGTAGGAAAGACCAGGCAGACAGAGTTCCGTTTCTATATTACCGGTGGCATTTGTGGTATCTTTCCAGAGCACAATCTGGTAATAGGGAACAGGAGCTACGAAGACACTTGTACCTTTGGACCCAATAATTTCCTTTGGAAGATGATAACCCTTGAAATTTCTCCAAAGAAATGACAAGTGTATGAATGTGTCAATCATTGGAAAAGATGGATATGATGCCACATCAAGTAAAATACGCCTCAAAAAGGCTCTGAATTTGGAGCCAGAAGATCTGGTTTCAAATGCTACCTCTGCCACTTTCCACCTGCATGACCTTGGGTTGACCCTCTCTGGGACTCAGTTTCCTCAATTGTAAAATGAGAGGGGTGAGGTCTGATGACCTTCCAGGTCCCGTCTGCAATACCATGATCCCTTCTAAACTAAAGTAGAATTGTGAGTTTGTTCATTGGAGTGACAGAGTTCAATGTTTGTTGGGCTTTTTTAAAAAATATTTGAAAATTGATAATAATAATAGTAGTAGTAGCTACATAGAGAGTTTTAAGGTTTGCAAAATGCCTTGATACAGTAGCTTATTAGACTCTCACAACAAGCCTATGAAATAGGTACTATTATTATTATGCCTCATTTTACAGAGAAGGAAACTAAGCCTGGGATGGGTCAAATGACTGGCCCCCGGGGTCAGACAGCTAATATGTCTGAGGCTGCACTAGACTTCGGGTCTTCCTGACTCCAAATCCAGTGCCCCAGCTTCAAATGTTGCCTAGCTACCTCTTTTTTTTAAGTTGGTTTTTTATGCTCATGCTTTTCATTTAAGCCCATTTCTTCTTATTCAGACATAGAATCAGAAAATGCCAAAGCTCTCAGAACATCCCGTGTGGAATGTCAGTACCAGAATCTGGGACCTTAGAGGCCGTCTCATCTCTCCTCTTCATTTTACAAAGGAAGAAACGGAGGCCTGGAGAAGGGAAACGGTCACGTAACTAGTAACTAGGGGAGTCAAAATGGTAACCCAGGTCTTCTGGCTGCCCGTACTAGCTATGCCATCATGCCACGCCCGCACTTCCCTCAACATAAAGACCATTGTCATTCTTATACACACTGTCCATATCCTTGAAGATGCTGGCAAATCATCCTTCCCTTTCCCTTATCCAGGCTACACATTCCTCTAACCTTTCCACAAAGGCCCCTGTTTTCCAAGGGATTCCCTAATCATTTGGACTCCCTGGACCCACTCCTATTTCCTTGACAATTAAGAACTTAATTACATTCCTCTTATGATAAGGGAATGAGGAAAGCATTCCAGCATCCCTCTGCCCTTTGACTCCTGGAGACCCTTTGCATGCCCTTTGAGGCCAGGCACAAACAAAGCTGGTGGGCAGGAGTTGGTAGAAGAGATAAAGAAAGAGGAAGGAGGAGTTTTCTGGCGGGGCAGCCAGGAAGAAGCAGAAGGAGCAGCTACTGTTGGGTGGGTGGCTGAGTCTGAGGGAGCCTCAGGGATGCCCTGAAGAGCAGTAAGACCAAGAGAGAAGGGAGACTGACCCTGAAAGCCCAGCCCCAACACCTGGCTCGAGACAACAGTGAATTAAGCAGACGTTTGACTAATTGGTGCCATCAGAATAGGAATCATGACTAAACCCTGGGCCATTGTTCTGTCCTGTCTGACTCTCCTGACCCTATTTGGGGTTTTCTTGGCAGAGATATCAGAGTGGTTTGCCATTTTCCTTCTCCAGCTCATTTGACGGATAAGGAAACTGAGGCAAACAGGGTGAAGTGGCTTGCCCAGGGGTCACACAACTAGTAAGTGTCTGAGGCTGGATTTGAACTCAGGAAGATGAGTCTTCTTGACTCAGGCTCAGTTTCTAGCCACTGCTCCATCTAGCTGCCCCCCAAAAACCCTGGGTAGGGAGGAAGAAAGTGGCATTCACCAAAATGGGCATACATAACTACTCCTTTGCTAACAGAACTCACATGAGTCACTTTTCTGTTCTTTGCATGCCTTTGAATCAGCCTGTTCGATGTTGAAATGTTTATTTTTAGCCTGATGCTTGCAGGGGAACTGATGACTCCCTCGTTGAGAGCTAGAAATGAGCCACATTCACATGTCCATTCACAAGGTTTCCCTCGGTGATAGAGATTATGATTGGAAAGGGGGCCCCCAAACTGAGCCTGGCCAGTGTGAGCCCAACACTACAAAGCTTCTGATAACACCTAAGCCCTGCCCTGATGCTTCCTCATGGAGTGGAGGGGCACTGGGATCTCAAGGCTGGGCCAGGGGAGCATGGTCTGTGGTTGGGCCACCCAACATGACCAGGCTTCCAGGATGGTGTTGTGTCTCCCATTAGAGTGGGAGCTCCTTGAAGGCAGGGAACCTGTTTTTGCCTTTCTCTTCGTCCCCAACTCTCAGCACAATGTCAGGTACACAATAAGCACTTAAATGATGCTTGTTGGTTGTTGACTGTTGACTGATTGACCATAGAAGTTCATGGCTGGACAGCAGCTCATGAAACCATCTACTAAGGCCCACTGGGGAAGAGGGGATTGACATCTGGGGAGCTTTTCTCCCATTGCTATAGCTCCTTAAGGGTCACCCAGTGCTTTTCCTTCCAACAACCCTGTGAACTAGGGAATGAAGGCATTATTGTTCCCATGTTACAGATGTAGAAGCTGAGATTCAGAGGTGCGGAGATGTGCTCAGATCCCAAAGGGACAGAGCTAGGATGTAGGCTGATGCTTACCAGCCCCACATATTGCAAGTGTTTAACAAGTGACTTATTGATGATTGATGATGTTGAAAGACAAAATCAGAGAGACTTTGAAAGGTCCCAGAATCCAGAGAGGGGAAGAATGCAGACCCTCAAGGAGGAGGAAGCCCCACCTCATTCCTTGGATTCTCCACCAAGAGGAGGGTCCCCTTCCATCTGCAACTAGCTTTGTTGGGGGAAGGCGCCCCCCCCCCAAGACTTCTCACTGAGGCATGGTTCACTGAGAGTGAAGCCTTCCAGTTGGCTTTATGACTTGAGGGGTGATTGAGAAAAAGAGAAAGCAGTTCTAGGGGTGGTATCCAGAGGCTGGGCCTCTTGGGACTCCCACAGCTTTCTTCTCTTTCTGGGGGCCCACCACATCTAAGGGAATGTTCTTTGGTTCTGCCTGGAAGGCCCTATATTGAAAGAAAAATGGTGCCCAGATCTCCAAGCTCTGGATCTCACTCCACCAAATGACTTCTTGTATTCATTTTGTTCATATTTTGAATACTTACATGTGTACATGTCACATCCCCTATAGAATATGAGCTCCTCAGTGCCTTGCATCATGCCTGGAAAGAGAAGAAATAAGCATTTATTATGTACCTACTATGTACCAGACACCATGCTAAGCATATTTCCAAATATTACCTCACAACAATCTTGGTAAGTAGGTGCCATTATTACTCATTTTAAGGCAGAGGAAACTGAGGCAGGCAGAGGTTTTTTTAATGACTTGCCTGGGGTCAAATGACTAGTAAATATTTGAGCTCAGGTCTCCTGATTCCAGTCACCACCGGGCCACCTCGCTGCCCCTACCTGGGACCCCGGGCACAAAGGAGGCACATTAATGAATCTTGTTGAATGAATGATAACTAAACAAACAATGAATAAATGAGTTCCAGTTCCTAGAATTCAGGACCTAGAGTTGGCGCGACCCTTGGGGGTCATCTAGTCTAACCCTTTCTTTTGACACATCAGGAAACTGAGGCCTAGAGAGTTGTCCAAGGATGCATAGCTGGTCAAGAACGGCGCCAGGTTCAAACTCAGGCGGTGTCTTGTTTGTTTTTGTTTTGTATTTTTTTTTTCAAGTTAAATGTAACAGCTGATGCCCCAAACAACCAGTCTTGGCACCACAGGAAAACATCAGGAAATGCGCCTCCTTCCCTTCCTTGGACGGGGTGGGAGGAGAATGGCTGCAGAATGTTGCACATGTTGACAGGTATGGTCACTGTGTGGGTTGGGTTTGCCTAACTGCTTTTCTTTGTTACAAGATAAGACTCATTGGGCATGTCCAAAAATGTCGGTGATGTCAAAAGAAAAAGTATCAGAAGTTAAGAAAAATCAGAGGCAGAGGCTCCCCTCTCAGAAAGAAGGTGCTACATACTAAATGAGGCTTCGTGTGTTCTCTCTCCACCACTGACAATTGCCGCAGAAAAAGACTCTGACCCCACGAGGAACTGCTTAGTCATTTTAGACTTTTGGACAGCCAGGCCCACAACCCCCTCTCACCCCCTCTCGGGTGACTCCAGGCTCAAAGTAGGCGGAGTAAATTCCCAGGATGCCAGGCCAGAGCAGGTCTGATTCCCATCCTGCCTATGAGTATGTGAAGGCCAACCTCCCTCCACCCAATTGCTCCCCTCTCTCCCAATTAGCCACAGTACCTCCAATCCTTCTGGCAAACATCTGGTGGCTGAGCCATCAACGCCTGTCCTAGACCTTGGCAGCTCGCCACCAGGGCGTAGTCCCCCGGAGGAAACTTGGGCTGCACCGGGGACCACGTGGTCCTTTCTGCCTGCCTGCCTGCACTGACTAGGCCTCTCTTTGCTCTGGGTGGTGTTCCTGGTCTCCTTCAACTCTACTGTCAGCTTTCTAAGGACAGGAATCATGGCATCTCAGATCTAGGGCCCTGCGGGGGAGGTCTCAGAGGACAGCTAGTCCTAGCCCTCATACAGCTGAAGAAACTGCAGCCCAGGGAATCTAGGGAGACCACGCGTCAGCGGTGGAATTGGAACCCCTGCCTCTCTCCCAAACTTTAACTCAGATGCTTTGGCAGGGCTCCTGCTTTATTTACTGACTGTTATATCTTCCAGCACAAGGCTGGACCCCTTCCACTTACAAATAATAATGACAGCTGGCATTTATACATCACTTTGAAGTTGGCAGAGTGCTTTACAAATATGATGTCATTCAATCCTCACAACAACCCCGAGGGGTAGGTGTTATTAGTACCCCCATGTTACAGTTGAGGAAACCGAGGCAGATCGAGGTTCCTGGTTCCCAGACTAGCTCTCCACACTCTTCAGTTTGACCATTCTTGGCAATATCCTAATAAACAAGTGACTTTTAACAATTAAGAGGCAGCTGGGTGACCCAATGGAGAGAGTTGCTGGGCCTAGCGTTCAGAAGACTTGAGGTCAAATCTGGCTTCAGACACTTACTAACTGTGTGACCCTAGGCAAGTCACAACTTCTGTCTGCCTCGGTTTCCTCAACTGTAAAAGTGGAATCATAATAACACCCACCTCATAGAGTTGTTGTAAGGATCAAATGACGTAATGTTTGTAAAGTACTTAGCACAATGCCTGGCTTATAGTAGGTGCTTAATAAATATTTGTCTCCTTCCTTCTGTCAGAAGTAAGTACATTATTATGAAGTTTTTCCTTCTATGGAGCCAAACTTCCTAAAACCCAGAAGTACCGAAAAGTCAGCAGGCTGCCTTGGAGTCCTCCCTGGAGGTCTTTCTGCAGAAGAAAACACAGGAGGGTTTTTGGGCTCAGAGGCAGCAGAGCTTCCAGATAGATACCAGGAGGGAAAGGCACCAAAGCCTGATCCGACCAATCTGGGAAATTGTTGGAAGTCTTTCAAAGTAGCAAAGTGCAAGGGGTCTCACTTTAGGAAGGAAGGACTTGTTGAGGGTGGAGAGTGTAGGTCCAGAGAGAGGCGATCAGAATATAAGGGGAGGAGAGAGCATGCATATTCATCATCATCATTTACATAACCCTTCAAAGTATGCAAAACACTTTATGAATCTTCCCTAACTACTCCTCACAACAGCCCTGGGAGCTATTATGATCCCTATTATATAGATGAGGAAACTGAGACAAACAGGGTGAAGTGACTTGCCCAGGGTCACACAGCTAGTAAGTGTCTGAGGTAGGATTTGAACTCAGGTCTTCCTGATTGCAGGTGTAGCACTCTATCCATCATTTGGTTGAAGGATCAGGGTACATTTAAGCTCAAGCAGAGGACACTTAGGGAGAACAGAATCTGTGTGTTCATAGAGCTGTTATATAGAGGAGAGGTTAGTCTAGTCTATTTGGCCCCAGAAGACAGAACCAGGAGCAATGGGTGCATGTTGTAGAGGCCAACTGAAGCTTGAAGGGAGGGAGCATGTCTGTCCCTGGAGCGGATGGGTGCCCCTTCAAGTTAAAGCTGGCTACAACAGAGGAGACCCTGGTAATGCTTGTTTCAGCCTTCCTTCAGGTCTTCTACCTACATTCCAGCCAAACAAAACTGATAGGTGTTTCTAAAGTTAGGTCTGGTGTTTCCCACCTCCATGCATTTGCACACCAAGAATGCACTTCCCCCCACCCCCTTTTCAATTTTTCTGCATCCTTCTCATCTTTCCAGGTCCCATTCCCTGAGAGAATGGGTTGGTTCGTTTTTCATTTTTGTGTCCCCAGCACCTCATTCAGAGCCTTGCACAAAGAAGGCATTTGGTTAATGTTTGTTGAACTGAGTTGAATTAATTGAATTCTACCTCCCAATCTAGGGTTCTTCCCAATCAACCTAATCTCTCCTTCGTGTGCCTATCAGGGACAGATCATTGCCAACCAGTGACTTCATCTTCTTTTTCAACAGAGAAGGAGGCCACAAGTGGAGTTTACCTGGATGCTGGCGAAGCATTTGACCACGTCTTTCCAAGAAGATAAAGAGATAGCGGGGAGGGGTAAATGACTGGGCAGCAGGTACATTGAGACCTGGTTCAGTGATGCCTGCTCATCACTAATGGGTCAAGGCTGGAGTCAGCTCTTACCTCCCCCGCTCAGTTTTTAACAAGCAACTACAAATTGGGGCTGGATTTATTGCTTTAATTATCTGGATTTGAGAAAGTATTAACAATGCTGATTAAATGTACAAGTGGATCCTGCATATATTTTTGGTGTTGGTTTTGGAGAGCTGGTTGTTAAACATTTACCAGCACACCCTTTGGGCCACACCTTTGGATGACAGTACCCAAAAAGCTAGAACATCCCACTATATTGAACATACCAGAATTTAATCTGGCCAATCCAACTTACCTGTAGCAGAGAATCATGGCTAAAGAACTGGCCTCAGATTCCCAAAGACCTGGGTGTGAGTCTAACCCCCAATACCAACAGCTAAGTGACCCTGGCCAAGTCACTTCTCTTCTCAGTATCTCAAGTAAATGTCTCAGACTATAAATTTCTACACTGAGAGAGAGAGGCCCCTCATAACGCAACTCCCTATACCAATGAAATCACAGGTTGGGATAGGAAAAAACTGCCAACCGCTAGAGATACAAAGACAAAAATGAAACTGTCCCTCCCCTCAAGGTACTTACGTTTTACTGGAAGGGGCAAAGATATGACATAACAATAGCTGGCATTTATATAGCACTTTATATATATAGCTAAGGGAAATAGGGGTGTTTGTCCTGGAAAAAAGAAGATTGAAGTGGGGATAGGAGAGTTGTCCTCAAATATTTCAGGAGCTGTTGTGTAGAAAAGGAATTAGATTTTTTTCTTCTGTTTGACCACAGTGAGCAGACCAAGGGGCAATGGATAGATTTTGGGTCCAAGTAAGAAAAAAACTTTCTAATAATTAGAGCTGAGCAAAGGGCTACCTTGGGAGCTAGTGAGCTGCCCATCACTGGAAGTTTTCGAAAGAAAGCTGGAGAAGCACTTGTTGGAGATTCGATTGAGGAGAGCTGGGGTCAGTTATAGTTTGGATTCCAAGAACCAGTTGGCATTGTGATTGTGTGTGGGGGGGGTGTCAGTGTGAATCCTGGCCTCTTACTCCCGTGTGACCTTGGGCAAATCACTGCACCTCCGGAGCCTGGATTGACTCAACTGTAAAAAGAGAGGTGGACGGGCCAGCTGGCCTCTGGGGTCCCTTCCAGCTACCAATCTGTGTTCCTTGGTTCAGATCCCCGAGGTTCCTTCCAATTACAAGATTCTAGGAGTAAAAGCAGTGACTTGCTTGAGCTCTCCCCCAAATCCCTCCAAATCCCTGCAAAAAAATGGCTCTAAACAAATTCTAAAGCACCAATTAGGAGATTCTAGACTACTGGAGGAAGAGGGAGGAGCCACGAGGAGCCCAGGCTGAGCCGGCCCCCCTAGTTCTGCTTAGCCATGACCAGATCTCCTTCTATTCCTGCCAAGAGCTGAGAAGGAAGGGGTTTGACCTCACGGCCCATCCCTACACCCTGCCCCCACCTGTGGCAAGCCTCCTCTCCCAGGGCTTAGCCGGGTCCTCCCCTAAGGGGATGCCAGGGGCACCCCCTGACAGCAGCCTCGAGTTTTCAAAGCCAGGGGCATGGGGAACGTGAGCCCAGCCAGTTCTCCAGGTCTCTGCAGGGCTGCTCAGACCAGTTACAGAGCCCGAGGTGAATTTCCTCCTTTTTCTCCTCATCGGCCCTACCCCCAATCCATAACCCAGCCAGGAATGAGGCTTTGCCTCCGGGGAGCAGAGATTATTGAAGAGCTTTGCCAAAGAAAGAAGGGAGGGACCAGGAAATGGCCTGTGCCCCGGCCCCGGGTGGCCCCACTTGGTCCCCTCACGTGTCTCCCCTCCACTGCCCAAGTGTTCTCCTCCACCACGGGGAGGCGCAAGGCCCGAGCAGGGGAGGCGGACAGCATCCTCTGGGCCTGGGGTCAGCCCCACAACCTGGATGGCATCAAGTCATAGCCACATGGAGCCTGATGTCTGCCAAACACTTCCATTACAACTCCCCTGGGAGATGGGTCACGGACCATAGAGCGGCAACAGACCTTTGACATTATCTATTCCAACTCCTCTCATTTTACAGATGTGGAAACTGAGACCGAGAGAGGGAACAGACTTATTCAAGGGCCCACAGTAGCCAAGCCAGAATTCAAATCCAGGTCTTTGGACTCGAAACCTAGCAATGGAGTAAGTATGATTGTCCCCATTTTTTGGATGTGTCAACTGAAGCCTCGTTCTGAGTGGATATTGTAATGAATCATGTTTTAAAGCAATACCGTGTGTGTCTTGGCTCTCAAATATACCTGCTATCTCTGCACTCATCCCAGCAAGGTTGGTGAGACAGCTGTGAGTCACTTCTTTTTTTTTCTTTTTTTTTATTTTTAGGTAATTGGGGTTAAGTGACTTGCCCAGGGTCACACAGCTAGTAAGTGTCAAGTGTTTGGTCTGAGGCCGGATTTGAACTCAGGTACTCCTGACTCCAGGGCCAGTGCTCTATCCACTGCGCCATCTAGCTGCCCCTGAGTCACTTCTGTCTGTGTTGGGCTATTGATCAGCTTAGTCTGGTGTCATAGAGACAGTGGAATGGGTGCAAGGCCTGATGACCCTGGCCAAGTCATTTCCCTTCTCTGAGCCACAGTCTCCCCTCCTCAGTAATACAGGGGATAATAACACCTGCGTGGGAGGCAGCCTTAGGGTCAGGAAGATCTGGGCTCAAGGCCTGCCCCTAACACATGCCCACTGTGTTTATCACTAGGTAAACCAGATATCTTCTCCATGCCTCAAGTAGCTCTCTAAGTGCATAAATTAGAGAGGAGTCCCAATCTGCTTTGGGCAGCTAGATGGTGCAACGGAGTCAGGAAGATCTGAGTTCAAATCCTGCCTCAGACACTTACTAGCTGTGTGACCTTGGACAAGTCACTTAAACCTGTTTGCCTCAGTTTCCTCATCTGTAAAATGAACAGGAGAAGGAAATGGCAAATCCAGTATCTTTGCCAAGAAACCCCAAACGGTGTCACAAGCACCCAATCTACTTCAGTGAAGGGGGTGTCCGAGCTGGGAGTTCCACATAATGTCAGCTACTTGCTTTGATACTCCCAGAATCCTCAGTTGTATCCCAAAGGCAAACTGTCCCCCTCTTACACACATAGGTATGCCTGAGGAAATGACCTGGTGAAGGGTCTTTGGAACAGCATTCCACTGGCCCTAGAAGGAGGGACGTTGCTGGGCCTGTACCTGGTACCTTTCCAGCCTGATAGGAGTTGCCAGGGCCTGCCCTCAGCTGACACAGCCTCCCAAAGCCCTAGGGACCCCTACCCCAGCCCCACAAAGAGGCATCAGAGGAGGATGTTTGTGAAGGATGTGAGTTTCTGCGATGATTCCCAGAAGCTCCTTCCCCAGAGAAAACTGTGGTCATACCAGCAATGAGCCTTCAAAGCAGTTTCTGTGCTAGGAAGAGTGAGCCGAGCCTCCCTGATCATCCCCATGCCAGCTGGGAGGGAGAGAGAGGACATCTCTGCCCAGGGGGCTTGTTGACATAGCACAGCCTTATGTGTTGGCCCCCTGTTGGGCCAGGGTGGCCAGGGCACCCAGGCAGCTGCCCCTGCAGTCCAGGTGGCTCCTGGGATTTGCCTCTTCCTGACCCGGTCGCCCAGGAATGTGTTTCCCTCCCCAAAATTGCGATGAAAAGCATCTCTGTTCAGGAAGAAGAGGGAAGAGACTCAGAGAGGTGATGCTCCTGGGTAGTGTCCAGGACTTCACAAGGAGCACCCCTCTGAATACGCATGGCCAGGCATGGGAAGGCGGTTGGTGCCATCCACAAGGAAGAGGCGGGAGGGGGCAACTGGTATAGCCAGGTACAGGAAGCTAAAACCTAAGGCGTTCTGGGGGCCCCTTATCTTTCTAGGGCAGAGTGAGGCAGGTGCTTAGAATGGAAACTCCCTGAAGGCAAGAACAGTGGGACTCTGGTCTTGGTGTCATCCCTAGCCCATCAGGCACTCAGCCAACAAGCATTTATTAAACACCAACTATATGCCATGTACTGTGCTAAGAGATAGAGATACAAAGAAAGAGCAAAATATAAACACACCAACACATAAACATGCACCCACACAATCCATGTCTATATAATAATGGGGGAGACCACGGGTAAATAGGTCTGTACCAGCTATAGCATACAGAGTAGATAAGGTAACCTGCAAGAGTTAGAAGGCATTAGCAGCTGGACAGAGCCCGAAAAGCCTCCTGCAGAAGGTGGGGTTTGAGTTCAATCTTGAACGAAGCCAGAGAAGCCAGAAGATAATGGGCAAGTATTCCAGGCAGGGGGCATTGCTGGGGCAAAGGTGTGGAGATGGGAGATTGGAGTGTTGTGTTTGAAGAACTGCAAGTAGCCCAAGGTCAATGGATGTCAGGGCACATGAGGTATAAGAAAGGCAAGAAGCTCATGATGAGCTTTAGCACAGGACCTGGCACATAGTAGGTCCTCAACAAATGCTTACTGAACTATTAATTGACTAATTGATCATGGAAGGCTGCAAGAAAGGAAAGGAGGCATCGAATTCAATTTAATTCAAGAAACATTCATTAAGTATTTATTATGGTCAAAGCATTGTGGATAAAAAGTAAAAAAAGATAAAGTCCCTGCCCTCGAGGTGCTTATATTCTACTGTACATAGCTAAGTATAATGAGAAAAACTGAGGGAGAGAATGCTGACATCTAGGGAGATCAGGAAAGGTCTAGAGCTCATGGGAATCTAGAAGGAAAATGAGGATTTTGAGAAGCAGAGATGAAGAGCGAGAGAATTCCAGGCATGGGGCACAGCTTAAAGAAATGCATGGAGATGGGAAATCAAGCTCAGGAAACAAGAAGTCATCCAGTTTATCTGGAATATAGAGTTCAAGAAGGCAGATGGTAGAAAAGGCAGGTAGGAACCACATTATGGCATCAGTCAGTCAGTCAGTCAGTCAATGAGCATCCATGAAGCATTTGGTATCTTATCTTCTTCCAGTAGACTGTAAGCTCCATGAAGGCAAGGACTCTCTTTTTCTTATTTGTAATTCCTAGAGCCTGGCACAAAGTAGGCCCTTATGAATATTTGTTCATATTTATTTATTATATTTATTAAACTGATTAATTTTCATTATTAATTATAATGTAATGATATGTATAATAAATAAGTTTATCAACTCTGAAGGGTTTTTAAGTGTCAAGATGAGGAATTTGTGTTTTATTCTATAGGGTCTTGAGTAGGAAAGTGACATTGTCCCACCTTTGCCTGAGAAAGATGAATTTGGCAGCTTGTGGGGAGGGGAGATGAGGAGGAAGAAAGTCTGAAGGGAGAGAGTTCAATGAGGAGTCTTCCAGTAATCCAGGAAAGAAATGATGAGGCCCCAA